CCCCGGTACGACACCCACCGCAATATCCTAGCATCTGTCTCGCCCATCTCGCAACCCACGGTAGGCGACATCCTGGGTACGCCTTCGGGTATCAAAGCACTCTCCCGCTTCATTGCGAAAACAGGCGCATTCACCAAGTCCGGCGACGACCGCTTCGTAGCACCGAATACCGATGTCTACTCAGATCCACAGACAGATGAACCATCGTTGGCGCATAACCGAGGACAGACACGGAGGCGCAGGAGACGTCCATCTACTTGACCTATTCTATGGAATTATTCTATGCTCTTATGCTTATGATACCTTGACCCTCTCTGCTGACCTCCCCTGCACACCCAACCGCACACATTAAGACTCTGCTCGTTGATAGTGGACTCTATTACAGTTTTCCTGAAACTCAGTTGTAAATATTTATCACTATTTATCGCTACGTAGAGTAGTACTGTGCCTTGGCGCTAGTAGTAGTTCGCCTGCTCGCAGTATAAATACAAAGAATGTCTCTCTCTCTCTCTCTCTCATGGACATTGCGTTTACACAGATCCGAAAGTTTTGACCCCGTTTGAAGCTCAACTTGGGATGTCTGGTATGCACCTAAGGTTACCTTCTGACTACTATGACCTGTCCACCGACCTTCTATAGTCAACTTCGTTCCGTTACCCTATGTCGGAGAGGGTACATGTGGCACGTACTGGAACGCACATCAGACTTGCGTCCCGGGTCGCCCTCCCTGGACGATACCTGACTTATACGAGCTCACGACGTCAGAAGCAACGTTAGTTCATTCCTACCAATTTTCCCCATCGCGTCGCTCATCATGTGTTGCATAGAACAAAAATAGCACTGCAGGAATCACGGCGGCCTTAATGTTGGCGGACCGCTCTTGCTTCTTAGAAACAGACTGCGCATCTATGGGAGCGCAACAGCCTCCAATGGGCCCCGATCTATGTGTCCTGGTGCTGCCGTACGATAGCCGCTGGTTTGCGCGGAGCGCGGCTCTTTGGAGTAAGTCTCGAAACATCTGCATACGTTTGTTTGACTCTATGAACCGCAGCCTTACATGGGATTGGATCTGGTGCTGATGATATAACTCTCGCGCCTCTCAGGAAAGTTCGACATCATATGGAACAAACTCTGACGAACGTCGAGCCTCCGTTCCGCGGCAGCGCCAAAGATAGATAAGCATCATGTTACGTCCGCTCTCGAAGGCATCGCCTAGAAGAAGCATGGTCAGTTATCCCGGCTGCCATCGCACTGCATGACACCGGCAGGTGCGTCGTCTTATGGCCCTCCGTGAGCAATCAAACACGGAACCACATGAGCCATGGACCCTGGACAAAGAAGATGGATCTACCTGGACATGGAAATGTGTCTGCGTGGCTCTCCATCCTCATCGGACCCGATAGGTACGAGCGCTGTGGCGAGCATGCGGTGGGCCCACTTCTGGATACACATAAATAGGGTGCAGGGAAAGACGGTAGCCTCACTCCTCTCCAAGGGGATTCATTGATACGATCTTAAAGCCTGAATACCAAGCATGAAAGCCTTCGTCGCGACTGCTGCTTTGTCCGCCGCGTCCTTTGCATCAGCGAGGACATTTACGGTTTACAATGGTTGCCCCTTCACCATCTGGTAGGTCGTCCATGGTTCTATTCGACCTGTAGATATCAATAATTTACCGCACAGGCCCGCTATGTTCACGGACTTGAACGTGGGCACTGCTGTTCCGGACTACGCTACTGGGTAAACTGCCACCCTCTCATCGTGAATTCACATCGCTGATTGATGATTCAGGTGGGAGGCGGCTGCGTACACCGCCGTCAGTTTCACTGTTCCTGACAACTGGCAGGCAGGCCGTATTTGGGTGAATAGGGTCTCCAGTTTCACCGCATAACGACTTAAGCGCGAATCTCCACCAGGCTCGTCGTGACTGCGACTTCAGCACGAACCCAGGACCCAACTCATGTCTCGACGGTGGCTGCAACGGGGGTCTGGAATGCGATCCTCACACTGGCACTGTAAGTCGCGCCTATTATGTAAACATGGACGTCTGGATTTATGTATCATGTAATTTGCAAGGGTGTTCCGCCTGCCACTGTAGCGGAGTGGACTCTGTCTGGCGCCAACAATCAGGATTACTACGATAGTAAGCGGCCTTCCCACTAGACCTTGTTGTCTTGCCCTGTTCAGCTCTTGAAATTTAGTCTCTTTGGTGGACGGCTACAATCTTCCCGCCAGGATCGACAACAACGTCGGCTGTGGTATCCCATCGTGCCCTGTCGATCTTGGCCCTAATTGTAAGACTATCATTTTGCATCACCTCTAGGTCTTAGTTAATCCCGTTCATAGGCCCTGCTCCCCTTCAGGGGCCGTACGACTCTAGCGGATTTCCCGTCGGTTGCAAGAGTGCTTGCGACGCCAACCTCGACGGCAACCAAGCCAACTCTCCGAATTGTTGCTCCGGACAGTACGACACTGCTGCCACTTGCCCCTCCTCCGGCGTTGCCTACTACTCTTACTTCAGTACGTTGCCATGGTCATTGTCTTGTGAGACGATGTTGATTATAGCTGACAGAGGACAACTGCCCCGACTCTTACGTCTATGCTTACGACGAGAGCAGCGGCACTGCCCTTTACACCTGCGACGCCAGCTTGAACGCCGACTACACGCTGACTTTCTGCCCGCCTTCTTAAGGAAACCTCCTCTGAACTATTCGGTCTCTCGGGTCCTCGGTAGTAATATCATTGCCCCCGTGTACGTCATTCATTCCGATATCTGCTTCTCAAAGCCTTGCATGCGCATGGTCTCTTGCAAGAGATACAGTAAGTTCGTGATCAATTGAGAGACATCGAGGTAACAGACAAGATGGTGGCTCATCTCATAAGATATCAGTGATGTGTCGGAAAAGACAAGGTCTACCATAGATAGCCCACTTCGATTGAATGGGCGTATGATGCGATATTTCGTTGGATGTCACATATGACACCTGCGACTACACCGTGCACGACACGGCGGGCAAAGCAGGTGTCCTTTTTCCGGACGGCAGGAAAAAGGACACTATGTCCTTTCACGGCGACCATCAGTGGGTCAGGAAGTAAATCTGTCACGATTGCGTCATGGTCGTGACAATGGGTCACGCAGTCTGCATTTATAATATGAAAAACCCTCGGACGCTCAGTTTTACAAAGCGAAGCATGCCATATGACCCGATAGGTGACTTTCCGTCCATATTCGGACCTTAGGCTCCCACCCGAGACTCCGAGAGTAATGTGACTGTTACAAGCAAGTCACCCATTACTAGGTCTGCTTGAGCAACTTCAAGTACAAGTCCGTCTCATCATCTGATACTGCAGCAGTGGTGCCATCTGGTAGGAGATATGTGCAAGCCTTCGCCAGCGGACTATTCATGGCCGATGCATCCTTGATTTTGCCGGTCAAACGACTGCTCCGACATATCTGCCTCAGCATCGTATAGTCGAGATCACCAAAGCACGCCTGTATGCGGCTCGCTTATTCGGCTTGCTGTTCCATTGTATT